CCAACAATTACAGTTAATTGAAAATGTCCTTTGAGAAAAAAGACCATAGTATAAATCAACTTAAAATTTTACTTATTGATCAACTGTGCCAGCTTTAGCTGATGTTTAATATTGCTTTATAAAATGTTTATGTTATGTATCCCATTCATTTTCAGTTGCAACAGTCAGATCAACAGTTTCAATATTTCCTTCTCAATATGGACATAAATTAGAAATAACTCTTCCTTTGTACCCCCATCAAACATTTACGTACATGATAACATCACAAAAGTAATCCTTTGGTCTTTCTCTCTCTCTCTCTCTCTCTTTTTTTTTTTTTTGGTGCGGAAGATGTAGTTTTTGGAAACAGCTGTTTCCTGAGTTTGTTTTTATTTACTTTTCTAGGTGACTCTGTATTTTTAAAAACTTGAATCTTTTAAAATTTTATAATTAAACAAAGAATAACCTATACTTACTATTGAACCACTTCAAAGATCAATTTTTAATCTATTTGCCTCTTCCTCCTTTCTTTCCATTTTTTCCCTCCTCTTTCCTTTTTTCATTTCTTTCCAACAGATCTCTCTTTTTTATTTTTAACCCAGAGTTGTTCTTTTTTCCAATATAAAAATCCATGAACTTTTTTCTCCCAGATTCATAACTAATGTTCCCAGTAAAAAATAACTGGGAGTAAATCTGTAATAGGATTAATAAAAGTTACAATCTGATTTTAAAAAATTTTGTGGAGATACAAAAGTATGATAAAGAATTTAAAAGTCTCGAAAATACACATGCTTAGTTCCATATATTAAGTAGCACTCAAGTAGATTTCACAAGGAGAATCCCAGTCCTTGTCCTTCATGTCAAACAACATATTTTCCAAGGCTACTGACAGAGAAAACTTTATCTGTACTCTTTCCAAATCACGCTGTTAAACTTTCATTTAAATATATATATGTAGGCCATGAGTATTATTCTTTTTTTATGGATGCTAGGTTTACCCATGAGAAGGTATAGAAAGTGACCAAATTTTCTCTCCAGTAAAGTATACATGGATATGTTTTGCCCTCCCAGGAAAAGCAAGTTTGTGAAAACAATGAGATGATTTCATTCTCTACTTGGTTCTTTAAATACAGGAAAAAATAAGTCCCCTTCATTGGCTACATAGCACTGTTCTTTCTCATCTTCAGCCTGAAAAATCAAGTGGATTTTTATTTTAAATATATTTTAACAATTACATGTAGACATAGATCTGAAATTTCACTAATGTGTTTTAACTTTCTTTACTCAGGTGGAAGTTGCATTTCTTTTATTATTCTTTGGAATCTCATAAAATCACCAAACACAACTATTAAATGTATTAGCTGCACACATTACAAATTCAAGGTTGAAGTAACTAGAACGAAACAGCAGATTTTAAAGGAACAAGACTGTCACTTAGTGTCAATGTTACAGTTCCATTTATCAGCTCCATTAACTTAATGGTCAAAAAAAAAAATTCTCCATACTTTCTTCTCCCTGGTGCATATTCGCTCTCACACACATCTAAACTAATGCTAACAGAGAGTAAAGTGATGCTATCAGCATTCTTTTATGTAGCTTTTATTGTTTTCCATAAAATTCTGTCACTGGGATAAAACTAATGATTTTATACATCTGGCCCAGCCACACAAACTCCAATTTTCACTTCTCTAATTTTCATTCAACGCTTTCTTTCCACTCCTTTAACACAGAGTGCTTTTGTCACACTCAAGTTGAAATATCAGAAAGTCAGAAACCTCATCAAAGAAAAACAGGTGCTTTACTCCTTTTGATTCTCCATCTTCCTGTGAACCATCTGAGATGCCTGTGTACCTCTCCGTCTCCAGCCCATTTGTACTGCAGACAGCCACACAATAGACTTTCTGGTATTTAATGCTGAAAAGCCCAATTGGTGATGTGTGTAGTAAAATTTTACTGCTTGTCTCAGTGAAAAAGGGAGCAATTCCTATACCTACTTTGCAGTTGAAAAGTTCAACCTTTATCTGTTTAGCCAGCTTTAATTCGAGAATAGGTCTCTTTCCACTGAGAGGAGAAATGCTGAGACATCAGGCCCTTAACAGCGCTCCCCTGTGCAAGCTGACTTGGCTGCTGATGCTCTCGCCTTTTTCTCTGCTCTCAGGAATTTACATTGGTTTATCTATAAAGAGCCCTACATGATGAAGGTGTCACTCACTCACCATTTTCTGGCTTTATCTGTTTTTTTGTATTAGTTTACTAATACTAAATATGTCATTTTACTACTCAGTTATACACTTCTAAAATTACATGAAATCTCTTGAGAGTCCTGTCATATCCAGAACATTTAAATTAAATGTGTAAATTAATTGTGACATGTAGTTTATTGCCACAAATCAGTATGTCACAGATATAGGTACTTAATTATAAAGGTAATTACTGCACTTAATTTCTCTAACACTCAGCTTTTTAGTGTACAAAAATATTTTTGAAATACGTAACTAAAGGTATATCCTTGGATTTTTTGTCTTATAAAGCATTTATATAAAATGTGCTAAGAATATAAAAAGATAGTTTAAAAAGCCATTCATATTTTCCTTGGCTTTATTCTTTTAATTTCTTTTTTTTGACAGAACTGAGTTCTTTTTTCTTTATTCATGTATTTGCAAGGAATAATATCAGAATAGCAGCCAGAAGACCACTTTTATGTCTCCCTTCCACTGCTTACAAGTCGTTTAACTTTCATTCAGTCACATAAAATTTTTTTGGTTACAATTATTCTAACTGTTCCAGGGGGATAACAATAACTGCTTACTTCACAGGGTTGTATGAAAATAATGTGAGATAAAATATAATTGCTTTTCTGAAAATCATACAATGTCATAACTAAAATGTAAAATCCGAATACTAAAATTTATACAAAATTAATTCAAATATATTTTCTCTTATGTATCTATGATCTACATTATGTAAAAATAAAATCACACCATACATTTGGACCATTGACTATGAAAGGCCGCTGTTGGCCACAAGTAAGAACATTTCTACATCTTCTTGAGGACTAAAATCTTTTTTCATAAATGAAATATTTACTTATAAATAGTGTAGATATTACTAGTCTAGTAGGTAAGTGAGGAACTGAGATGGTAGGTTTCTAAGTGAAATGTTACAGAAAAAGGAAGATCTTTTTCCATATTATAAAGTTCTGGGTCTTTATAACATGTAAGGTAAACTTTAAAAAACAACAGGTCAGACCTACCCATTTTCCACAGATGAAGACCTGCACTAACCTCCTGAGGTTCTGCCCTTTGTATGTTTACTCATCCTCTGCACAGCAAGCTGGTATGTGAGATTTCTACTTCATTTCTACATTTCACTCAAATGTACTTTCCCAAATCGAGATAGAAAGTGTGAAGTGTGTGTGGTTTCCATTTTTAGCATCTTTTACCAGGTGCTTTTGAAACTTGCCAAGTGAAATTTTAATCACCTGGCAAAGTATTTGAAATGCAGCACTCACCTTACAGTTATTTAAGATTTATGCTTGCATATTGATCAGGCTCTCTTGTGTGCTTACCCTTTGCTATTTAAATATATTTTCCAATTTTTGGTAAAATTTTCTGCTTTAATAATTCTAGAATCAGTAATAATGTTTAGGATTGTATTTATCTTCTCCATCTTTGTGATTTTAAAAAGATTCATTTTTATACAGATTTACTGTTCAACACAGAATTGATATGAGCAAAATTAGGAAAAACTCTGAATATCCCCAAAATAAGTATATTTTACTAAATATTGTATAAGCAAACATGAAATAAGAATATATATTAATATACAGAAAATAATTTAAAGGAACATTTAAATAAGAGAAATATATTAATACTAAATACATCAAAATGAGAAAAATAAACCTGGTAATAAATGGGATATATGTCCCAGAGTTAATTTTGCATATATATCTATAAATATAATTACCAGAAAGAGACATATTTACATGTTCATATGTTAATGGTATATATTTTCCTAGGTGCTATGATTAAGATAATTAAAATAAAATTCCTCTCCTTTTGTATGTAATTACCAACACTGCTGCCCTAAATATGTATGTTTTAAGGTTTTAATACAAGTATAGGGAAATCAAGTGATATGTTCTATAACATAGTCTCATATGAACAAAGGTATTATAATTTTGTCAAGAACTTCATTAATGTACTATGAAATGCCTACTTTATATTTGTGACTATTTTTATTCCCAAGTCAGTTAGTTAAAATACAAGCAATGTCTTTATGGTACTATTCTAAGTATGTGTGGTATGTAATGTAATTTCAGGTAACTAAGGATGAGTGTTCTGTAATCCTTTGAAGTTTCCTTGTTGTGTCAAACCAGGATTCATGTTCATGCAGTGTATGATTAGCAGTGACTAAATTCTCAGTTCTACTCTGGAATTCTGGAAACTGATGATGGCCTGGAAATTGATTGATGGTCCGATAGGATGTTATCCTAAGGTTTGACATGATACATCCTTGGTTCAAACTACAAGCTCAGGACTCTACAACTCTTAGCTAACCTAAAAGATACTTACTTTCATAGGGTTTACACCTTTATTTTTAAATTGGAATAATGACCCACAGTTAACTTAATAACACAAGCAAAAAAAGGAAAAATAAACAAGTGGGATCAAATTAAACTAAAAAGCTTCTGCACAGCAAAGGATATAATCAATAAATTAAAAAGGCAACCTATGGGATGGAAAAAAAATATTTGCAAAGCATATACTGGATAAAGGAGTAATATCCAAAATATACATGGAACTCATACAACTCAATAGCAAAACAACAACAACAAATCCAAATAATCCAATTAAAAAGTGGGCAGAGGACTTGAATAGATCTTTTTTTCCAGAGAAGATATACAAGTGGCCAAAAAGTACAGTGTTCAACATTACTAATCATCAGGGAAATGCAAATCAAAACTGCAATGAGATGTCACTTTGTACCTGTCAGAATGGCTATTATCAAATACAAAAAAACAAGTGCTGTGAAGATGTGGAGAAAAGGGAACCCTCGTGCCCTGCTGGTGTGAATGCAAATTAGTGCAGCGATTATGGAAACAACAGTATGGAGGTTCCTCAAAAAATTAAAAACAGAACTACAGTATGATCCAGCAATTTCACTTCCAGCTATGTATCAGAAGGAAATGAATTCACTATATGGAAGAGATGTCTGCACTCCCAGGTTCACTGAAGCATCATTCACAATAGGCAAGATATGGAAACAATCTAAGCGTCCATCCACAGATGAATGGATAAAGAAAGGTGATAAATACACACATACCCCAACTGGAAGGTTATTCAGTCATAAAAAGGAGATCCTGCCATGTGCAACAACATGGATGGACCTGGAGGACATTATGCTAAGTGAAATAAGGGAGACAGAGAAAGACAAATACTATATGATTTCACTCATGTGTGGGATCTAAAAAAGCTAAACTCGTCCAATGGTGGTTGCCAGGGACTGGTGGATGGAGGAAATGGGGAAATGCTGGTCAAAGAGTGCAAACTCTCAGTTATGAGACAAATAGGTTCAGAGGATCTCATGTGCAGCACAGCAACTCTAGTTCATAATACTGTACTGTACACTTGAAATTTGCTGAGAGAGATCTTGAGTATTTTCACCACACACTGCAACACACAAACACAAAGGATGGTAACTACGTGAGGTGAAAGATATGTTAATTAGGTTGATTGTGGTAATTATTTCACAATGTATACATATTAAATCATGTTGATCACCTTAACTAGATACAATCCTTACTTGTCAATTTTGTCTCAATAAAGCCAGAAAAAAGAAGCTACTAACAGAAATTCAGGCTATGACAATGTATTTAAATGAGGTACATGCATGTGTATGTGATACATGCATGTGTCTGCGTATATATGTGTATGCATGTATATGTGTGTGCATGAGTAAACCCACACATAAACATCCAAGGCAACATCTAAATATATCTTTAATCCTTAGCTTGCTATTGTTCATCTCTTCCTTTTTCTACATATCCTTTTTAATAAGCTCTAATTTGTTTATTTTATTCCAATCCTTTCTTTCTGTGCCAACTAAGACTGGGAACTTGTCATCTGCCAAGAATTAAGTCACTCGTCACTGCAGTAGTTGACCTTCAACAGATCCTGAAAGGAGTTCAGGGTGGAGATCAGGAATGAGTTGCTCTGTGCTCTGGGAAAACAGGCAGAACATGCCCTCAGATAGTCAGATATTTTCAGGAGAAGATTTTATGAGCCCAAATTCTTGCACCTTCTCATATCTAGAAAGGCACTAAAATAATTAAGAGAGACATCTGCTCCTCGTGACTAGCAGCAACTTTCATGAGACTAGCAGCAACCATCTGCAAAAATCTGTGCTTAATTGCATTCACCCAAATCGTATATATACTGACCTCCACTCTACCTCTTTGAAGCAGTTCCTCAGAGCTATCTGAGATGCTGACTTCTGGGGTATAAGTCTTCATTTTGCCCCAAATAAAAGTTAACTCACAACTCTCACATTGTGTATTTTTTCAGTCAACATCTGTATGTCCCTATAATACTAATTATGTGTTCATATAATAAAGTTAATATCTTTAACCTATATGTGTGTTTGCATGTGTGCTACAGTTTAAAGAAAACAAGGATACATGGTGATTTCACTAAAAAATAAAACATATTTATCTAACAAAGTAAATTTTGTAACATATGACCTTAAGATAAACTGTCAGTCCATCAGGAAAATTCAAAAGAAAATATTTCTATTAAAATTACCCTGAATTTCTAAATATAAAAAATGTATAAAAGTTGAATTTCAAAAAAAATTCACTGATAATCATGACTTGACTGGCAAAAAGATAACTGTGTATTAATTGTATAAAAACAAGGCACTTCTAAATTTGCTTTACTCATTAATTTAAATTTGCATTCAGGAATTTACACATATGTCATTTTCACCTTTGCTATTTCCATGCTTTAATTAGCTTCATTTAACTGAAATCTCTAGATAGGTCACAGTTCTCAAGTTTAATAAAATAGAGTGAAAAGGTTTTATAGAAATTCATAAATTATCGATATTCTTTGGAGTAATACATACATAATTTATTTCTTGTCGATATCCAGCACATTTTGTAACATTCAAGTAAATAGAAGAACTAATAGTGTTACATATGAAATCCTTCTTAGCAAGGTAATGGCGTTACTTCAGAGTTTAAAATCAAATCAAATTTAAGAATTCAGGGATATGGCCAATACATGTTTTACTTGAACACTATTTAACTAGAATGGCCTTTTGGATCACACTAATTAAAAAATCACATTAATTAAAATCAATCCTTCTAACTGTCAGTGCTCCCTTCTGCCTTCCCTACATTGTTTTTAATAGCACGCATCACAGTCTGACATGGAACTTTTTAATTGTTTATTTGTTTTTGTCTGATACCCATGCTGACAAGACAGGAGGATCGGATTTCATCCTTGTTCACTACTGTATCTCCAGAACTAACGACTTGGCCTGACACAGACAGCACCCAAAAACGTTTGCTGAAATGTGAAACGTGTCCACTAGTCGTTTTATGCCTTTTGTGTTTTTCCGAGGCTCCTGTTTGAAACAAGACAGTGGATTCTCAACGAGAAATGCCATCTAAGGCCGGTGTCCCCCAACCCGCCCATGAGACAGAGGAGGGCCCAGGAAACTCACCTGCCTGCATCTGGGTTCCAGGAGACACGCCTTCCCTGGTGAGCCGGGAAGAGGGAGAAAGCCGGTCACTCTGGTCATCCGCTCAGCATCTCCCCAGCCCAGCGCAACCCCTGCAGATCCGGAGCGACGGCGGAACCAAGTCCGGCCCATGGCCGGCGGCCCGGACGACAGGGAACCTCGTCCTGGGCTCGGGATCACCCACAAATAACAGACGGCGGCGCCCGCAGGGTCCTGGATCCCAGCCGGGCTCACAGTCCAACTTCAGGACAATCTATGCGTGAGGCGGGGTGACCCGGGGCTCACCAGCAGGCCTGTCTCCCGACACCCGACAAGAACATCGGCTGGAGCGGAAGGCCGCTCGGCCCACACCGGGCGCCTGAGCCAGGGACCCGCAGGCACCACGACCCGCTTCCTCCCGCAAGCACCACACATACTCCACCGCCCTGACCACCACGCGGAGCGGAAACGCCGTGTCTGTCCACCGGCGTCTGTAACGACGCGACAGCGCCGCTGAGCGTGACGTGTGACGTCAGAGGTCGTGGCGCCAGAGGCTGTGACGCCATGACGCCAGAGGTCGTGACCTGTGACGCCAGAGGACGTGATTGTGACATCGGAGGGCACATGTGGACTCTCATCCTCTCGCCTTTCCCTCTCCTGGCCAGATAAAGCTGCTGGGAGGTCCTGCGGGCCCAACGAGCGGCTTCCGCAAGGCTCAAATCCTCTTTGGGGCTGAGGCCATCGCTGCGGGAGGATGGGGCAGCCTGGACCCCTCTGCTCGCAGCCCCCAGGCCAGCGGAGGGCCAGTGGAGGGCCCGCCTCGCGGTCCTGCCGAGGTCAGTGTGACAGAACAGTGCGGACGGAGGGATGATGTGGACACCTAGGCTCGGAGGTGTGGGGCGGGCGAAGGAAACCCATCAGGGACCAAGGTTGCCACCTCCCAGGGTCTCTTCTGTATTTAGATTCCACTAAAATGACTTCTGCAAGCTTCCTTCTAACCCTAAACCCCCAAGGCCAATGCTCATCCGTCCCCTGTTTTCTATCCTCAATTCATTAGGAAGGTTTTTATTTTGAATTTTTTGTTGTTGTTGTGACAAAACATACATAATATAAAATGTACCATTTTAACATTACAAAAATTTGTTGAAATAACAAACACTGTTAACACGTTATTAAAAAATTAAGTTAAAGTTACCAAAGTAGGAAAAACTTACACAATAAAAACATTTAAATTATCTTCAACAAATGAAAACCATTGTAAAGAGGTTTATATTTCTATTCATTCTTTGCTTACTAAATCGAAGGCCTGTATCTGCTACTTAAAAGAAGAGATATTTTTAGATTAAAGAAACAAAATGTGTGTCATTCAAAACTATTTTATTTACAAGTTATAAAATTTTGCAAATAGTCTTACAAAAACTCAATGTAACCATCTTAAAGGATAATGGGGATTGATTGGCTTACACAAATAGAAAACCAAAAGTTAAGTCAGATAAGAACTTACCTGGCTGAAATTTTATAAAAGTCATAGTTTCTTTCTCATTTTCATCTCTGCCTTTGAAAATGATTTCTTCCACAGTTAGCTGCTAGAAGCTTCTGTGGGCTAAAACTTCCGTTGGTCAGGTCCAGTGGGAAGAGAATATTCCATTCCTGAAACCACAGTGAGGAGAGTGAAGAATTTTCTCTCCCGTATTTTCATGAGCCATCTCCAAAATTAGCCATGGCTGGATTGGGTTATATGGTAGTCCCTGAAGCCAGTTGTTTGGTTGAGACCTTGGCATTGAATCTGAGATTGGAATGAATGTCACTGAAATAGCTTCGTTTTAAACAAGAGAGGAGAGATTCCCTGAGAGATATCCACAAGGTTCAGTTAGCCTGGCAAATGTGGGATAAATGCTGGGCAGCAAAATCATCTGCCTACTACAGAGATTTAGTCTGTTTTGGGTTCTATGGCTTGTATATTCTTACTCATTGCCAATCATAAAGTAAAATTGTACCACTGATAATTTTGAGAGGATATAAAGAGAAAAGGTCATTAAAGAATTCTGAGGCATTCTTAATTTTACTGGATTTCTCTTTTCTGTCTAGAATAGAGTAAAAGAGGGATAAGGAACTCTTGAGACATTTCCAGGAAACAACAGGACAAAAATACGCAATGATTAGAAAATAAGACCTGTGAGAAAGAATTAGAAGAAATGTAATCTCTGTAAGATAGATATTATGGCTAATTTGGTTATTTTAAGTAATGGAAGCATTAGCTCTGCTAGCCTTGTTTATCCTGATTTTTCCATCCCAAATTTCTGCTCACGTCCTACTTGATAGCTATAGGCTGAGTTTTAGTGTAGTACACGTATCAAGTCATAATAATTACAATAATAAAAAGTTCAGTGTTTGAGCATTCATGCATCATTTATTTTGCAAGAGACTTTATGTCAATTAACTCATTTTCTCATGGAACAACTTTAGTTCGTGTTACATAAAAAATGATTTTGAAGAGTTTTAATACTTGCACAGGTTCTGAGAGCTAGTGAATTTGAAGCAGCAGAATTTGATGACAAATCTTTCAGGCTGTAGTGAGTATGTGCCTCTCATAATTCCTGGATGCTGCTATTTGCCTAGAAAGCTTATCACATCACGTTTCTCAGATTCCCTATTGCTTTATGCTCAGCCATCGTAGTCCACTGGTCTTCCATTGACAATTTAATAAATGTGTGTGAAGAGCTATTACAATGTGCAAGTGTTGCACATATTGCTGGGCATCTAAGATGGATAACATAAAGCCACTGCCCTTAGGGAACACACAGTTTGCTGTGGAACGCAAGAAGGTAGACAGATACATAAATATTATGTGAGTTATGAAATTCTATTAATTGTAAATTAGGGTAATTATACTAATTATTGCACTGAGAACAACTAGAAAAACTGGAACAATTTAAAAGTTTTTCTTAGAGACACCAGAGTGCTAAATAGGTAGCAGAAGAAAAGCAGAATATCTCTGAGGAAAAGTAACATTATTTTGATTTCAAGTAATTTCTACTCATTTTCATGTACAAAATGTGGCACTCAATAATTAAGCACAGTGGAGAGCAAAAACTATTATTAAAAATGACAATAAAAATGCAACTGCATTAGATCCAGATAAATGAGAAAACAGACACAGAAGAATATCTTAAAATATCTGAGTAAAATCTGATATTTTAACTAGAACTCAGCCTGTAGGTGTCAGGTAGAATGTTGGCAGCAATTTGGGTGGAGGGTCAGGATGGACAGAGCCAGCAGAGCTAGTATTTCCATTATGTAAAATTACTAAATTACCATAATCTCTCTCTTATATAGATTAAATGTCTTCTAATTCATTTACTCTGAATGAAATCAGATTACTGTACATAATGAAATAAAAGACTAATATTGAATATTTCAAAAAGACAATACATGAAAGAGAAATGAAAGATAATGTTGTATCTAAAAATACAACTGAACTTAAATACTACATATAAACTTTACAATAGACTTTAAGCAGCTGAAAGATTTAGATAACTATCTGTGACGCATGCCAGGAAACATAACTAGAATGAAGCACAGCTAGGAAGGAAAGCAGGCAGAAGGAGGAAGGAACTAAGGGTGTGGTTTCAGTAAAGGCCAGCCTGACCCAACGGGAGCTCTGGGAAATAGGCTTTCGTATTTATGCATCAGTCATTCATGAACCGGACAAAACCAGTTGTAGGTGAGGGATGAAAACTCTCACTCTGGGTGTCCATGGAGACAGTGCAGCTCCCGAACCCCGGGGGCTGTCCTTGGCTCAAAGTCCCAAGTTCAGGTTATAGAACTCAAAAGCCCACCAAAGTTTGGTGAGAGGAGCATGAACATAATATAAGAGATCCAAAGGCACGTAGTGAAAATATCAACAATGTCTGCTAAAAATGGATGTCATCTTGAGGAAGAAAAACTGATAAAATCATACAGGTCATTCAAATAGAGAGAAACAATCTCCTGTCAAGTCTGAATGAAAAAGCAACTGACCAGATGAGAGCAGAGCTTTAGAGGCCAGGGTAACTAGCAGATAACAGGAACTGCTTATAGTTTGGTAAATGATAGGCAAGAACTTTTAATACAATTTCTGTAATTCTTGAGTACCCAGACTTTTAGATATCAGTAAAATTCATCAATGAATTTCAAAGACATGTTTGGCTTCCAATACACCCCTATTTGTTCATTTATTCTGTTTCCCTCCACTCTGTGCCTGTAACTATTGAGACATTGAGATGTGTGTATATATATATATATATATACCCTGAGGTCATGAGAAGACATCAATTAATTATACAGAAAATGTAGATCAGCACACAGAGCCTATCAGTCAGAAATGAACTGTGTTAAGACAAGTTTAATCACAGAAAATAGTTGTTGCCCTCAGTGAGTCATAGCATTATATCACAAGATAATTTGTATTATGATAAACAGTAACATTTCAAATACCAAATAGCACTGTAAAAACACGCATAAATAAAACAGAGACTGTGATAAACAGTAACAGAGGACTTGTTGAGTGGCTGCGGAGCCTGTGACTTTGCCCTAGCAAAGCCCTCTCTCCACCTGAGTTCCTGCTCATCTTCTGAGCTTTGATTTTTAACCTTTCAGAAGAGTTTCTGAATTTTTCCAGTATGTTTACAGTAAGTTCCTCCCCTTACTAAAGTTATCCAGGATTTCTTAGAACAATATTGACTGAGGAGGAAACCAAATTAAAAAAACAATGCAATGAATTAGAATCAAATGAAATACGTATCTGAAACTATGATATTCAATTTAAGCAATTCCAAAGGAAAATGCAATTTATGTGTTTGTCTTTGGGTTGTAAATTAAACTGTGCTTCCTGAGAAGAATAAAAACACAGAACAATTTTTAAAAAAGAAAATATGAATTGTATTTAGAAATGAGTGAATAAGAAAATAAAAAGTAAAAATGTAATAATTGTAAGAGATAATTGGGAAAATGTATATAGCCCAATACAATATTTAATAATAAAAGCGATAATACCAATATTAACTGTATTCAAAAGAAGTTAACAGAAGTGTAAAGTTGCCCAACTTTTTCAAACCATATGACAGGGTGACATCAGCAAAAACGGTGGAGTATGAGACTCCGAAAATTCTCTTCTCTATAAAAAAAAAAGCAAGAAAACTAGCCCCGCCTCCAATAAAAAATCAGAATCAACTTTTCCAGAAATCTGAAAGCTAACCACCCTGGACAGCAGTCCTGAAGTGTTTGTTGAAGATCTCAGTAAGAACAGTGGGCTTTATGGCATTTTAATTCGCTGCATTTCTGGATCTCCTTCCTCAACTCTGTAGTATTCTTAAAAACTAGAAGCCTGGACTCAGGATGAAAACCAGTAGCCTGGCAGCCCCTGGGTGGGACAGATTAAGACTGGAGCTTTTTCAGGGCCCCATTCTCCGAGAATTTTCATATATAATTTATAAATGTTCATAATCATTTTAATCATTATAAGATTAATATTAAAAATTATTATGTACAAGAAGAAACAACTACAAATTAATTTCAAAACGACAGGAAACGCAATGTGAAAATGGACAAAATTGCAGAAAACAAGACTATGATGAGAAACTCAAATTCACTAGAAATCTGGCAAATTTAAATTAAAATATTAGGACTTACTACTTTCTGCTCCTCAGATGGCCAGATTTGGAAAGCTGAAGTATGCCAAGTCACAATGAGCAACAGGAAGCAGGAGCTCACATACTTTGGGAGAGCGAGTATGACCTCATACTTTTCTCTTGGTGAAGCCATCCATTTAGTGTATGAGCCATTTCACTCAGTGAAGTGTCTCCCTGCCCTGTGACGCAGCCAGTAATAGCACCAAGACTTTTACCACTGAATCAGTTTTACACTTTTTGGAGATTAGCTGCCTGTGCATCAAGAGGATAACTGATGAGTAAACTGGATGGATGCCTATTTATTATGCAGCAGGAGAAGCAATGATTTGCATATATATAGAACAACATAGGTTCGTATTTTGAAACTAATTTTAAAACAAGTATAAAAGTAGCAAGTACATATTATAATATCATTCAAGTAAGCTAGAACATATATATAAACCATCCTTATATCAAAAACGTGCATGTTCAAAGACATACATGAAACACGTGGAAGTTGGTACACGTAAAGACAAAGGAATGGAGACAATTTCCAGGTATAAATGCGAAAAACCGAAAAAAAGTTTTTAAGTGAGGAAGTGCTTGGTGGGACCCATAATGAAAAAAAAAAGATGTTGAAAACAGGGGAATAAAATCACAAGAAACTTCTGCAGGACAGATGAAGGAAGGAAGGGAGGAGGAGAGGGATAATGAGAGATAGTAAGAAGAGAGGAGGAGTTCACATTTGGATTTTTTTGTGTGTTTGTTATATGTTTCCATGCCTGTACAATCTTTCCACACTTTCCTTGAGGCCATATTAATTCCAACAGAAGTCTTTTAAAAAACACTTTATACTTTCCAGATAGTCGGCTAAGTCCTTTAATGCTTCAGATGTGCCTCAGAGCCTTTAATCCTTTATTTGGGAAAATATATTCTAGTTACATATGAAAAGTATAAAAATCTTAAACACAGATTTTCTTAAATTTGGCATATACTCTGTTTCCTCATAAGAATGTTAACTCAATAGATCTCATTCCACCATTTCTCCCTAAAATGATACAGATAATAAATCAATTAAAAAATAAGTAGGAAGGCAGAATTCTGGGCCTGACCATTCATAATATGAATTAATTGCATTATAATTTTGAAGATAATCATCTTTAAACATATCTTAATGAAATCATTTATGCCTTAGGAATTTACTTTACTAAATAAAAATAGAGAATGCAACAATGAAGCATTTGCATGTGAGAGTAAATGAATAATAAATGAAAAAATGGGATTACTAGTAGAAACAAAACTAGTACAACTATCACTCGTAACTAGTCATTGAGATTTCAGTTGAATTTGAACTGATTTGTTCATTTACTCTATAAGAAATTTGTACTTCCTCCAGGTCAGTGGTAACAAACTAGAGGCTCAGATTTCCATCCATCCTTCTGTTTAGTCAGATCATTTCCCCTAACTTCTGTTTAAGAGGAGGATTGTCCTTATATTAGTGTAAGAAAGCTAAGGAACGAGAGCAAATACAGCATGTGATACCAAATTTTTTTCTTAACTTGCGGTATGAAGCACATTAAATATATGTTTATATATTTTGTTAATAGTACTTTTGTTTCCACTGTTTGCCATGAGTTTCAAAAATGGAGAGGAAATGCAGTTCCTTTATTTGTTCTTAAAGATTTGTGTGGGTAACTGAATTTAAACAATTTAGATGCATTAAATGGAGATTGGAAATCCTTTGATATATGTTCTGTGAGACACCTTTCTCCTCTTTATTTTCCAGTCAGTTTATTCTCTCTTATGTCTGACAGGAGCTTAGAAATTTAGAAATTACCTTATTGTGTTAACTCTATAATCTTTCTAAGGGCTGAGAATCAATTTACAAAATGTAAATATGATTTATATACTTACCTAAAGGATGTTTCTCGAAAATAAACAGTTTCTCAAAGCTGTTTAAAAATCAGATGCAACTAAATATTTCCTATAATAATTTTCTACAGCTATTATGTTTCTAGAAATGCACGGATTTAAACATTTCTTTTAAAGGCAACAATTCGATCATAAGATTTTTCTGAAATCAATATTTATAAATATTTTCATAGCTTATGGGACAAGATCTCCCTCATTTTTCTAATATTTTTCTAAGATTTTTAAAGTAGATATTTTATTCACTTTCACTTTTAGAAAATTTTATGACTATTAAATTGTATGAAAAGCACTCTGGAATTTTTGAAGATTTCAGTGAATTTTTAGAATAATTTTGGAAACAAATGGGTGTCTTAATGATACAGATGTAGGTTTCCGTCATCCCAAGCCTTACTTACGTTTTGTAAGTTCTCATTTGTTATCAATTATATTGCTATCCATTTGATAGCGTGCATTACTGTTGTGAGTGGGATTTCTGTTCCATTACATAGTCAATTGTTTTACATTTCAGTTGTTTCAAGTGTCAGTTTGAAGGATGTGCATATTATCTTCTCCTGGAAATCTTGAAAAAAATTGTCTAAAACTGCTCCTGACTTAACTTTAAGGGAGAAATTTTTCCTGTCTTTCTACTATAGTAGTGTCTTTGGATTTTTACATGCTTTTGATCAATTTTGATATATTTAATTTTTCATTCTATGATTTTATAGAGAATCATAGGGCATTATGTATCTTTCAATTGGAATTTATGTACTTTTATTTATAGCATTTTCTTTTTAGGACTGGTACATGGGAGAACAGACAAATTCCAAGTTAAAATTAGACCTCTTAAAATGTATCTGCTTTTCAGTTTAGGATCCTTCACTGAAATGACAG